ATAGGGTGAATACATCTCATTACACTGATTTACTGGTAGTCTCGAAACCCTACTCCTATATGAAATAAAACTAGCAGAATTTCATTAGCCTTAACAAAATAGGATGAATGCAATTATTAAGTGAAAGTATACAGAGTTCAGATTTCACATATTATGCATACATTACTATCAAAAATAGAAGTAGGAATACAAGTACAAGTAGAAATATAAATAAAAATAGTAATAACAATAGAGATGCTAAAACGAATATGAATTTGATTGAAATTTCAAAGCGATGTTCTGTCACATTTTCTCCTCCTTCAGACGCCTTTGTGCCTGCCAGTCCGTCGGCCTGTCTGCCCGGCAACCTGCCTCCTCTCGGACCCTCTCTCCGGTGGTCCTGTCCCCCTCACCCTCCAGTTGCTGGCGCGCCTCTACCCGTGCCCGTTGACCTACTTCTCGCTTCGAGATCGCCGCCCTCTTTGATCAACTGTTCGCCTGGCCTCCACAACAACCCCCTTCTCTGTCCCCCCCCAAACCCGTTGCCCAGCGATACCATTCACCAGCCACTCCTCTTCGGCCTAGGCCCCCACCACCTTCAGACCGAACTGTCAGCCCCGCCACCACCACCACCACCAGCGGACACTCGTCAGCCATCCTTGAACAAGGCTCGTCCGATCGGGCTGCCGCTATTCCAGCCAATCAGAGGCCCGGACCCCCGAGCCCCCAGCGGCACCGGCCTCGACCGTCTTGATCGTTTCGACTGCCTCGACCAGACGAACAACCTGCCCGGCCTGGCGCCCCTCCACGAAGTCTGGCCGTCAATCGTGAAGCCAGTGTTTGGGGCACTCGAGTCCGCTTGCCAGAGAAACCGGGACTCGGGCCCACCCCTGCTGGTCCTGGCGCCAGCCCATCCGCCAGTCGGTAGCCCCGCCAACGTCAACGCCAACGTCAACGCCAACGTCAACGCCAACATTAACACCAAAATCGACAACAATGACAACGTCAACGCCGACGACGTGGACACGGCCGCTCTGCCGCACTTCCTCGAACAGCTGCGCCTGCAACTGGGGCCCGTCCTCCAGACGACACCACCACCAGCTTCAGCCCCCACATGCCCTAGCAACCTGT